AAATGAAAAATTTATTGTGGAAAAGCAACAACAATTTGAAAAAATGGTAGAAGTGATAGCTATTTCGGAAATCACCACATTTCCTCATCAGACTTCTTTCATAAATTTCGTAAGATATTTTATAAATAATAATACAAAGTCTACTGAGAAAATCGTCAAAATCTATGCTGTATAAGCTTTATCTCCTATAGCACTGATTGTTCAGATACCAGTTTTTGCCATATATCTCCTTTATGTAGGAAACTAAACCCAATAAATTGTGTTACCGGTTTACATACCGATCACATAGCAGCGAAAATCACTTAGATTGGTGCCATATAAAGTATATCTTCCATACCTCTGATTGTTTAGATGCGATTTTTTATATAAGTATGTAACTCCTCTTTCGATGTATGCAGATGTATTCAAAAGCAGTAATCCGTCAAAGTGAAATTTGCAGATGTTCATGAAAGGTATGAAGCCTTCGGCATAGCCGAAGACAGCGCTGCTCTTACTTGTTTTAATTTTGTTATGTACTTCCTTTATGTACAATGTGAAGGTCCAATTAAAGATATAAAAAAATACATACAGTGGTCAAAAAATTATAGTATTAACGTATTATATTTGTTGTTATTGAACTTTTGTCACATTTAAAAAAATATATAGTTCGTTCTTTAACAAAACCCGTGGAAATTCATGTTTCCAAATTTGAGCAGTCCACTTGCAACTCGGCCGTGATATCATTGTAGCACAATGCCACTCATATTTGACTTACAAACAAACTACGGGCACGAATTTCAAGATTTCAACCCTGTTTTTATGAAAATTTTTATTTTTATCAGTATTTTTCTTTTAATCAAAATATGTTGAAATAAAAGTGAAACTAAAAAAATTTTGCAGCCCACTTCATGTTTAAGTGTCATCATTTAACAACATTTTACAGTATGTTGTATGTTCACCAATGACTATGCCAGCTTTTACGCCAACAAAACTCAGTTTTCGGGAAGCATTTGGTAGAACCAGAAGGGAAAACTGTATCATGAGCCTCTGAAAAGTGGTCAGGTGGCCAACGAGGCTCTCTACAGACAAAAAGTTATAGTATTGGAGCGTGCAGGCAAATCTACTTTTACTGCAATACATAGCCTAACCAAAGTTATTGAATAGGTATTGCGGTATAAACAGATAGGTTTGTGTGCATTCCTGTACATATCAGGTGCTTTCGACAATACGTGTTTTGCAGCAATATCGACAGCTATGATACGAAAGGATATTCCTGGTCTTTTAACGGATTGGATCATACAGTAGGCAAGCAGTAACTGCCACCCGTGGGGAGTCTTATCGCCTCTACTTTGGACACTGCTTTTTGACGAACTCCTCGAAAAGCTAAATGACAATGGACTCAAGGCATATGGATATGCAGATGACCTAGTCATCTACGTTGTCGACTGGCATGAGGACACAATTTGTTCCAGATTGCAGGCTGCGCTCAGATTAATCTAAGACTGGTATGCTTCAAAGGTATTGTCAATAAACCCGCAGAAGTCCACCGTTGTCCCATTTACCAAAAGAAGGAGAGTCAAATTGACTAAACCCACCTTGGAAGGGACAGAAATTGAGTTCTCAGAAGAGGCGAAGTATCTAGAGTAACTCTGAACAAAAGGCTCAATTGGAACTCAAATCTTCTTAACGTTACCAACAAGGCTACAAGGGCGTTTTGTGCCTGCCAGAGACTCCATGGTACAACTTGGGGTCGGGTACGGTCGTGAAACCTGTTGTCACATATGCGGCACTGGCCTGGTGGCCAAAAGCTTGATCTGTGTGGCCATCACAGGAGCTATGCGCACCTGTCCATCGGATGCCCTCGGTATAGTTACAGGCATTCCTCCTCTATCTATTCTGATAGAAAAGGAGGCCTGGTGGAGCGCCCTACGGCTGCCTAAAGTAATCAGCATGAAGAGTGGGGATCTTTGGGGTCACTTGGAGGTTCTCAAGCCTTTTCTGGATAATCCCGCTATCAAGCTCACAGATATCATGCTACCGAAAATATTCTTTGATAAGCCCTACATGGTAAGAATTCCTGAAAGGGACTGTTATAAATCGCTGATATCTATGATTGACAAAGGGTCCCTAGTATGGTATACCGATGGATCAAAGATGAAAGACGGGAGTACTGGGGCAGGCGTGCTTGGACCAAGGTTCCAGAAAGGCCAGCGAAGGGGCTCATACCCAACCAAATTCCAGGCGGAAGTCTTCGCAATCGAAGTCTGTGTTCGAGAATGTCTTCGGAGAAGGCAAACGGGGCCAGAATAAATATTATGTCGGATAGTCAGACAGCACTAAGGGCCCTAGACTCATTTAGAATGACATCAAGGCTTGTGGACAGTTGTAAAACTCTTCCGAATAGCCCAGGAGCCAACAATAGAGTTACGGTGTGGTGGGTTCCTGTGCATGAAGGGTTTGAAGGCAACGAAAGGGCTGACTATCTCGAAAAACGTGGAGACCAAACGCGAATGAATGGTCCCGAGTCTTTCTGTGGTACATCTAGAGGATACACATGCAGAACTTCTTAGGAGTTGGGAGGAATCTCAGATTGCTTCCCACTGGCTTCAGTCAAAGGGAATGAGACAATCTAAGAAATTCATAACTCCTTCCACGAGGAACTCAGAAAGACTCCGTGAACTCAGCCGGGAAGGGTATTAGGACTCTTACAGGCTACCTGACAGGACACTACAAGTTATGGTACCATCTGAACAAAATGGGGCTTTCTGTAGAGACGGACTGCAGGTTCTGTGGGCTGGCGGAGGAAACCTCAGATCACATTGTGTGTGACTGCCCGCGTATCATGAATAGCAGACTGATGTACCGTGGGGAACGATTGTCTTCTCCACCCAAGATTTGGAACACGGCACCCTCCAATGTGCTAAAATTCTTTCTAAGGTTGGAGTGACTACAATTAAGGTTTAGCACAAATAGATCTTTTAGGTCGCAGCGCGAGTATACCCGACGTACTAATAATAATTGAAGCGTGCGATTATTCAAAAATGGTCGAAATGGCCAATCAGAAATTAGTCATTGATCTTCCACCATGACAATGCTCGGCCGCATGTAGCACAAGCGGTCAAAATTTATCTCGACGATACTGAATACGAAGTCCTAACCTACCCACCTTACAGCCTAGGCCTGCCACCATCCCATTAACATTTTTTCCGGTCGATGTAGAATGCACTTACAAGAGTGCGCTTCTCCAAATACGAGCAGTGTTATTGGTGCGGCATCCATGAATTGCTAGAAAAGTGGGAAAAAGTCGTAGCTAACGATGGGTAAAAAAAATTGCATCAATTTCGTACACCGGTAAATTGGTTGGAACTGGAGTACCTGGCGGCCAAGTTTGCGGGCACTTGTTGCAGGATGCTAAATCAAGCTTCCCCAGTTTAGCTTCGGAGAAAATAACCAGTGCCCTGATAATTTATTATTGTATGGCTGTCACTTGCCAGAGCTTGTCATAGCGGTATCAAGAAAACCCTTGTCAGAAAAAACTTGCCAGCAACAGGACTGGTTACTCCTGGTAAGAGTTTGTAGGATAAAACCAGTCCAGACACTGATAAAAAGTATCTCAGTTAAGAAAATCTCCCCAACACCAAAAGTGATCATCTCAAAGGGAAACTATTATTCTGGAGGCAGTCCAGGCTGTTTACACTTATTTTATCTAGCCAGGACTATAGTGTACTATCATTGCTTATTTACCTGCACAAAAGCCACTGTCGTAGCGCCGGTAGCAATCAACATTGTACTCTGTGAGATGATAAAGTCCATGCGAGGCAAGCAGCCGCTATCATAAGGCCTAACACATTCATCGAAATTCATTTCGTCCATGGAGTATTCTTCACAGCATGATGGTGGCAATTCAATTTTATTCTCCACATTTGTGTCATTTTGTAGTTTCCAGTCTACAGGGCTATTTACACCACAGCAGCCAAGCTGTAGATCAATAAAGTACATAAAACAAGAGCAATTACTATTTATTTTCTAAGCACTATTGTGAATCAAAATTTCTAAATACTTACAGTATACTGCATAAAGTCTACGCCGGCTGCCACGTACACGTTGTCATCATAGGCCTGTATAGACTCGTTCATAGTACGCATCAGCATGCCACGCACCTGAGTTTGCATTACAAAAGCGGCAATGGCTGCGGCTACTTCCAGAATGAAGACCAGGAACAAGCTGAAGCCATACTGTAAGTAAATGAAATGTGAGTTTTTACAATTAATTTACTTATGCTCTTTTTCCGTTGCTTACCAAATTAATCAGCATAACGCTCTCCTTAACCGCGCCATAGGCGCCCAGTGTTGCCACAAACAACAAAATAAAACCGATCGCAATGAGTAACGCTGGCGGAGAGGAGAAGTGATCGTCAATAAATTGACTGAAGTCACCAAAAATGGTTTGGATTGTTGTACCGACCATGATGAGTAAAATGGCTGTGAGCTAGAAATATAGAAGCGATTGAAATGAGCTTAAAGTACGAGTACATGTTTGAACCTGAAAATAAAGTTTTTAATGCTCAGATGCATGATGAGATTTGTGGAGATGATGAGATGTGTGGTTCGAGGATATGGTGAGCTGATATTTTCTTATATATTTAGGGCTAATCTATCCGCAATTTTCACAAAAACTACTTTGTGATGTTAGAACCTTTCTGGGGCTTACCTGTCATCAGAAATGTTAATTCTGACTTTGCAATTTAATAGTGAATTCTTCTGTCTAGTGTTATGCAAGGTCAGCATTAATATCACCGATGACAGTTAAGTCTCAGTTGAATTTTTGATTCAGAACCTCATTTTTGTGAAAAGGGTATTGAATGTATTCTAGGTATAAAAATAACTGGTAGGAGGGTGCCTTCTACGGATATGTTTGACCTTCTGTTCAATCTCAAACATGAAATAGAACAGAAATGAGCTTGTCTCATAACTAAAGCAGGTTGTTGTTAAATCAGGCAAGATAAAACATTTTGACGGTTATGGTTTATTTTCAGACTCTTTACTTGCTTCTGGCAAATTATTTCTTAGTGGGAGTTTTTTCTCAGTGCAGTAAAGCTTCCCTTGTAAAATATCCATACGCTAGAAATGTTTTTTTTTTAAATAAATTTTTGAGGTGTAAACATTTTAGATCTTGGTATTTGTAAAATTTACATTAACACAGTAGGAAATTTTTAGTTGCTTCTTTTGTGTATAAATGAACTAATATTCAGGGTTATTTTAAAACTAGTTCGCGAATAGCTTACGACCATTTCGGGACTCGTTAGGGATAATTTCGGGACCGTTCAGGACTATTTCGGAACTTTTTCTTCTTCTTTATAGGCGCTATAACAGCCTAAGCGATTTTGGCAGCGACCAAAACAGTACGCCAGTCGTTTCTTTTCTGTGCCAACTGGCGCCAATTGGAAACGCCAAATGAAGCCAAGTCCTTTTCCTCTGGGACCTTCCATCGCAGTGGGGGCCCTTCCTCTTCCTCTGTTACCAGCATCGGGACCCGCGTTGTATAATTTCAGAGCAGGAGCGTTTCTGTCCATTCGAACGACATGGCCTAGCCAGCGGAGTCGCTGCATTTTAATTCGCTGCACTATGTCTATATGGTTATAAAGCTCATACAGTTCGTCGTTAAATTGCAAAATGTTCCTCTCGAAAACTCCAAGAGCTGCTTCATCAGATATTTACATTGCCCATGCCTCAAGGTGATACGCAGCACAGCACAGGCATGATGGCCGAATCATAGAATTTGATTCTTGTACTTCTCAATTGCCTACTCAGTCCAAAGTAGCACTTGTTGGCAAGAGTGATTCTCCGTTAGATTTCAAGGCTGACATTATTATTGGCGTTAAGGCTGGTTCCTAAATAAACCAACTTTTTCAAACTTGTAATTGTCAACGGTGACGTCTGTGCCAAGATGCATATGCTATGGGTGTATGTGTGATGTTCGTTCACCACCAGACCCACTCGCATTGCTTCTCTATCTAATTCCGAGAAGGCAGAACAGACGTAGACCTTGGTTTTACCGATGATACCTTGCAAAGTATTGTGCATGAGCGGTTCTATTCAGCGAATCTTATGATCCTCTCCAACCTCAGATTAAAAAAATCACACGAAAGGAAGTCTCACCTTGTCGGAAACCTCGTGTCAAACGGCTCGGAGAGGTCTTTCCCAATTCTGACGGAGCTGGTGGTATTACTCAGCGTTATTTTACACAGCCATATTAGTTTCGCGTGGATACCAAATTCAGACATAAAGACAACTTCTTTTCGTACAGTCGAAAGCGGCTTTGAAGTACAAAAATAGATGGTGAGTGTCGATCCTTTTCTCGCGAGTCTTACACAAGATTTGGCGTTTTGTCATTATCTGGCCTATGGTAGATTTTCCAGGTCTAAATCCACACTGATAAGACCCAATCAGTTCGTTCACAGTGGGCTTCAGTCTCTCACACAATACGCTCGATAAGACCTTGTAACCTATGCTTAGAAGGCTGATAACGCGGTAGTTGTCGCGTATGGCGGGGTCGCCTTTCTTGTGGATTGGGCAGAGCACACTTTTTACTTTCCGAAAATGCTAGATTTTTGTATGAATCCAAAATAGTGTCGGACGGTGTTATATATAGTAGGTACTGCTGCATACAAAAATCAAAAAATCATCGATATCAAATATATTTGGTAGAAAATTTCTATACGTAATACTGAAGATGAAATTTATTTACATAAAGTAATGCAAAAAAGCAAAAACTCTTTAGTAGAAGTAAAATAATTGAAGTTTTAGTGTGCGTTTATTTGGTTGAAATTAAATCAATTTATTTATCTTCAACTTCCAGTTGTTGATATGCAATGGTAGACATGGATATTCATGGGTATATTTGCATTCTACGTAAATATGTATGTGTGCAATAATTTCATCATGTACGCAAAGGTGCCTACAAACATAGCATACATAAAATCCAATTACTGTTATCTTGTTGTTATCTGGCCTACAAATACATACATAAGTATTATTCATTTCAGTTTACTAAAAAATTGTGTGTGCGTAATACATGTTGTCACCGAATGGTGAAAATATGCCAAGTCCATTTTTTTAAATTGTTCAGGAGTAACGAAAAATCGGAAAAAAATCACACACACACCCATCAAAATTCTCTATGAAAAGAAATATTTTTAAAACTTTTTTCTTGAAAAATTTTTCACATACAAATTTTTTGATAAAAAAAAATTAGATGTTGAAAATATGCCATCACAAAAAAAAAAAAATTAAAAAAAAAAATCACAATGGTAGCTTTGGGTATTGCGCAATATTTAAGTGTAGTATTATGGGGTGCACTCTAAAATAATTTGAGCTATGAATATTTTTTACACCGAAGCTGTATAAAATGAACATATTTCCAATTTAAACATTTTTTAATTTTCTTTTTTTATTATTTTGAGCATGCAGTTTTGTAGCCCACTAAATTTTATCAGAATAAAGTGCAAGTTTTAAGCTACTGCAAAATAGCGTTGACTTTTGATATTTTTTATGCTGACGGCTTGTTGCACTTTTTTCTTATGGAAGAAAATGCGTAAAACCGTTTTCAAAGAAAAACAAAATTAATGCCAGGTTTGCAATCGCTTAAAACTTTCACATTATTATACTACAATTTAGTGGACTAAAAAACTGCATACTCAAAACAAAATTTAAAAATTTGGAAATTCGTAATGTACTCATTTCATATTTCATATTTCATCTCATATCATATTTTCATCTCTCTCATATTTTCAAAAACTATTTTTTTTTATCAAAAAATTTGTATGTGAAAAAATTTTCAAGAAAAAAATTTAAAAAAATATTTATTTTCATAGAGAATTTTGATGTGTGTATGTGTGATTTTTTTAATTTTTTTCTATTAAATCGATTTGTTTTTGTTTTTGTGGTGTTAAGTTTTTAAAAATATATTAATCAAGCTCAAATTTCTTATTTAGTTATTATTTATGTTTATTCATCAACCCTAAAAATTTTAAACAATTCAAACACGTGAAGTGTGAACCCCGTCCAGGTTGGTATGGTACGCCCCAGCAACAGCTCTAACGATTTTCCTGAAATTGTGTACACAGATAATGTTTTGGATTTTAGGGTTATCTCCGAGAAGACTCATATAAGGTTGCCACATATTCAAAATTAGTTACAAATTAATTAAAACATCATAATATGGGTACCAAATGGAAGGTATTTTAAAGATCCCTATTTCAGAAATATTTTTAAAAGGATTGCCACCTATTTTGAGTCGCATATTTATTAAATTTTTCTTAGAAAAAAAAAGTAAAATATTACTATTTATGGGTACCAAGAGGAGGTTCTTAAACAATGCTTTCCCTATATACAAAATGTAATCCCTTAGGATAATAGTGTTGTCTGCACAGATTATCAATGGATATCAAATGAAAGGTGTTGTTGAGAATTTTGGCCAGAAAATATTTTCCGTCAGGTTTGCCACGCTTCTATACAATTCAAATTTTTATTTTCTTTATTTCAATCAGCATTTTTTTATGTATACACGGTACATATACGCTCAGGATATGTGCCATTCATTCCAGCGTATTTCGGAATTGGGTTGCCACCTAAATTTTTGGAGTAAGAAATTTACTTAATGGATTTCGAAATCCAATTATTATTTTTATTCCCAAAATATTTTTTGTAAAGATATCCAAATCTTGAAAACTTTGAAAAGTATACGCATTCAGGGCAAAGCTCGGTCCACCTGAGACTATGTATAATTATGAAGAATACTGTGGAAAAATATTCCACATCAATATTTAATTACTTTTAAATAAAATGGCTTTCAAGTTAAGGCGTGCGAGTAAACTGCGTATGGTATACGTTACATAAGCAACAACGCAATGAATCACTTCTTACTAAAATTCTGAAATCAAATTTTCCTAAACCTTCTCATTCCTGCGCCAATAAAAGCTGAGGATGAGGATAGATTTATCGGGCGTGATTTTTGTATGTCGGTTGATCTCATTTGTTAGTTCGTTGGATCTCAAGGGTGAAATTATTGGCGCTGTTAACGCCAAATTTGAAGTACACAATGAATTCCTCACGAAGTGCCATTACTCTGTTAGACGAATTAAATTGGGCCTCCTTCTTCTTCTAGCTCTATAAAATATCACTGCGATGTAGAAAGAAAGCAAAAATCAGAATGAAAATGCATGAATTTGCTCGAAAGTAAGTCAAAACCCCGCACGACTATTTGACGCTTTGTGAAAATATTGTTAATGTTAAATATATGCCAGACTCAAGGCAAACTTAAGGGGCACAATTAGCTGTTCCAACCTTTCACGCAATATTATTATTTAATAGAAGAAGACTTACGCCATGATACTTGGCACAAGCTGCAGGACCTCATTTCTTATGAATTGGGAAAAGCAAACTAAATCTAAACTTCGGGCATGTATTCATCAAAAATTCATAATTATGATTAGAAGCTGTTAAATACCCACCACGCACTCTTCGGCTTTGGAGAGCTCTTCATATACGAGTGAAAGGACATGAGCTATGTCGCTTTACACACTGTAATAGAACGGTCTATTTTTTTATCAAGCGTGCCACCAGTGCTGTTATAACATCAGTACACAGGACCGTGAAGAGGAAATCCTGGGGCGGTACTAAATATGTGCCAGACCTTCCTACGCCACCTAAAGCCTCTTTCGTTTGACATCCATATTATGCTACATATTTAAATTAAATAATTCCCTTAATTCAAGTCGAATTAGATTTTTTTAAATAGGTGGCAACCCTCCTACATGTGGTTTAGAAAAAAGCCTGTTCAAAAGCATTTGTAATACATAATCAATTTAATTTAGTTTAATTTAATTTTTAAAAGGTGGCAACCATATTCGTATTTTAAAATAGATGCATATGTACATAAGAAAATTAGGGTGCATCACTCTCTATTTCGCAGAAATATTTATATTTACGTTAGCTAGACCGATTTGTAAATTACCTCCCAAAATAGATTTTTTTTATAAATAAAATTAAGTTTTAAAAATAGTTTTTTCAAAAAATTGCCCTAAAAATTCTGCGTAAAAATGAGACACCCTAATGTACATATAATTTTTTTTGTTTTATTTTAACGGTAATAAATTTGGGATTTTTGTAAGGTTGAGTGAAAATATTGGGTTATAAGTTATTTATGTACGAGCATATATACATACATATGTACATATGTCTGTGTGTATGTCACAGAGAGCAGCTAATGCAGACCCATAATTGAAAATGCGTACGTAAGCAAACTACAAGACGCGAGACTATGTATATTCAGTTCAGTTGAAAGTTGTACTACAAATTGCTATCAGTAAGTCAACAAAAATTCTATGAGTAAGTATGCACATATACATAGGCAAGGACAAGCTTTAATGGGCTGATCAACGATGTGCATATACATATGTGTGTATGAATGCGAGTGTGTGTGTGAAATTTCATAAGTAATTAGGATCGATAAAGATAGACCGTAAAAATAATCAATAATTTCGCAAAATTTTGAAAATTTATGACCCTATGTACATATCCATATTGGCCATGAGAATGTGAGAGAGAGAGGGCCTTTTTGGTAGATGAAAGATGAAAATATACCGAAAAATTATAAATTATTTTATTTTATTCATTTGACCAACTTACCGCAAACATGAAGCTGACAATGATCAGCATAAATTTTGCGCAACGCATACTTGAATTCAATTGATCGCGCGCCATTTTGTTTTATGTATCTTATAAAATAACAGTACAGCGATTTTTCTACTTCAAACGTTTTTAGGACCGCTCGCGTGCCCGCTTATTTGCTGTGCTGAAAAAGGAATTATAATTTTATTTTCAACACTTCATATGCGAGTATTGTACATAGTATAACTTTGTTTTTGTTACACTATTTGTCTTGTATTTATTATTGTTGTTGTGCACGTTGCCAAAGCATTTGTTTTGTTGTGGCCATTACCGTTTCGTTGTGACAGTTGAGAATAATTCTATTTGTTAATCTTTTTTTTTTCTCAAGTCCACACCGTTTCAAAGTCGCTTCAATACTGAATTGAAAAAGCTGCTTTGAGCAGTGGCGCAAGCGGCGGCGGAGAGACTATATTACCGACATATGTATGCATATGTATGCATATGTATACATGATTGCTTGTGTAGTATGCATACGGTGCGGCAAAAAGTCCGACGAAAGCACAACACTTCCTTCTCGCAGCGCAGCGCGACGTGGTATCTACAGTCCTGCCCTTCCACCGCTGCCCACCTTCAATTGCGTTTTTACTCTACTTACCTTAGCACACACATATGTACATGTATATACCCATCAGGGAAAGCTACTAGTTGTGAACTAGAATTCTACCAGTTTGCGTTTCAGCCCAACTATGTAGTTCACGTTCTATCTTCACTAGTAGAAATACTAGTAGCATCATACCAGTTGATGAGATTAGGGTTGCTAGATTTTTTATGCGCGAAATCAGTACATTAGACTTTTTCATGCTAAAAAAATCAGTTCTTTTCAGTACATTTTTATTCAAAGCAAAATAATGAATATAAGTACAGTGAAACCCGCTTAAGTATCTAAAACATGTCAACTATAATTAAATTATTTTCTTCTTATTTTTTACAGTTCCAACGTTATGTAAAAACCTTAAGAAAATACTAAAGTATTTTGTTTGAATATAAAATTCAGTACAAATCAGTACAAATATTGAAAAAAAAATTAGCGTACTGATTGAAGAAATGAATAAAATCAGTACAAGAGTTGAAAAATCAGTACTGTACTGATAAAATCAGTACGTCTGGCAACCGTAGATGAGATAGTCTGTCAAGTCATTTCCCGTGAAGAGCATAAGCATGCCTTTTTGCTCGCGGCTCTCCAACAGTCGCAATGGTCGCCAGAGCAAAGCGCTCGTGAGGTATGCCTGAGGTCCCAAATTCAAGTCCTGACGCAGGGAAATTTTTTTATTTTATTTTTTTTTTTAACTATTTATTTTTTTTTATTTAAGGGTTTTTGTTATAATTTTTCAATTTCGTTAATTTTTTTTTTTTAATTTTATAAATTTTTTTTTATGGCTCAAGCATTTCTTCCCATATGCATGTTTTCTCTGCAATGCAATTAGAGTTTCAAATTTGTTATTTATATTTGATTTAAATTGAAATAGTTATTTTTACTTACATTGACTTAACTTTAAAAATTTTAACCACCTCCAAGCGGCCTCGAACCTGCGAACTGAGGACCAGCAATTAATTTCGTTTTATTTTTGGCTTTGGCAATTCAATGCTTAAGTTTTTCGAAATTGTCGAACTGGGAGGCACATACTAATTAATGAACTAGTATTTTTTCTAACTGATTTGTCTTTTCACTGCAGGGTTTATACATATTTACATACACAAATACTTACGCAGAAAATTTATAATCAGTTTTTCTAACTTAGTTGTTGCTGTTTTTTTATTATGGCGCAATTCGGTTTTATTGTAGTGGTGTCTACTTTTGTTGTAGTTTCAGTTAGGCTAGTCATTTAGCGTCTTATCAGTTTGCTCTGTGTTTTTAGCTGATAATTTTTCCACCTAACTTATATGTATATATGTATGTATGCACATTAGGATGGTCCGAAAATACATGGGAAAATGAACTTTTTCGAATAGCCCGCATTTAATGCGACTTTAATAAAGAATGTATATGAAATGAAAGTTTTCGCTCAATATATAAAGGTTTACCGGTAACTCAAACATAATGCATAGACCAAATGTATTTTTGTATGGAAGAAACAAACAGCATTGAAAAAGATCTATAAACCCACGCCAATTTTTTGGGACTAGATACCTGCATATTTGTATACTAAAATTTAATGAGAAACAATCATAATCATAATTTTTCTACAAATTATGAATAAAAAATTATAAATTTTGATGAAAATTTGATAATTTTTTTAAGTCTTGTAATAAGTTTGAAAATTTAATTTGAATGGTGTTTGATAGAATATGAACTATATGTTCGTGAAAAATTAAGGAAAAAAAAATTGTATGAAAAACATTTCCGAATCACTGTACAAATAATTATTTTTTGAAATGTGCCGCTCAACTCTTTCGATATAGAAATTTTACAAAAAAATATATTTTCCCCGTATGAAGTATTTGTACATGCCCCCACAAACCATTTTTTCAGAGTATACTGAACTGAAGGGAAATTTTAAAAAATTCGTAAAGATTTCGTCCGATTTTTTGCCGAATTTTCTAAATTAAATAAACTGTGCACAGTTCGATTTTTTATGAAATTTCGAAAGAAAATCGATAAAACAATGAAAATAATGCTGCTACATATATGAAGAATTCCAGCAGGATTTTTTCAAAATTTTCTTTATTTTTCGTACAGAAATTTCTTTGCGACTTCGTGTCGACCACTTCATATAACTTTCTTTGAAGATCCGTAAAAAAATCGTTACAGAAATGAGACACTCCTAAATATTTTGTTAAGATTTCGCGAACTTTGGTTTGCAGGTTATTTATGTAATATATAAACGTATATGTACGTGTATTTGTACGTGTTTATTGATATATCTGCACTGTAATGCTTTCGGACGGTACTAACTGTTACTGTCTCTTTAGGAGTATTACATATATGCTTATATGTGAAATGTTAAAAGATTTCAAAATAAAAAATACGGGTCTCCTCGTTTTTGATATTCTTATAATTTAAATCTTTAAATTTTTACCACCCTAATGTAGTACATACATGTAAAAATATGAAGAAGACTAACGGTGAGGCAAAGTGTAGGATTTTGTGGGTTTGCTTTGTTGTCGAGATAAGTTTACAAAAATGATAAGATTTTGCAATGCTCTTGTTTAGTGCTCTTTTTCACACTGAGTTCATATGCCTACAGTAATTTAGCGAGATATAAAGAATTAAATAAATAATAAAAGTGAGCTTTCCATAAGAAGAACTTATAAAAAAGTTAATTAATTTAACCGATTCACGCTATCGATTTTATAGAATCAGCCTTATCATGAGTTTCATTTTCCATGAATCACTTTCCACTTTAGTTTCCATGGTTTGACTATGGGCGGATGACAAATTTTCGGGTGAATTTTTTTTCGGGCTAAACTCAGGATAAGGCAGAATATTTTTGCTGCCCTTTCTTTTTCCGCTCTCCGTCGTCAGCTACTATTTACTACTTTGATTGACTGGCTAGGTACATACAGCTTGACATAGTATGCCTTTTAAGTTTCAGCGACAATTCCTCTATAGAGATCCGAATCAAATGCGGGATTAAGGTTTCAAGTTGTCGCGAGAATTTAGATTTTTATAGATTACAACCTTATCTATTTGGATTATTTGTACCTTATAATTAAATAAAACCTTGGGAATAAAATAAATTTGGAATTTACCAAATTGTGAAAATATGTATCAAAAAAAAAGTTAAAATTTTCACTGCTGCGCCCTCTGGTGAACGTTTTAAGAAATAGATAAATGCAGTAATGGATTCCTTATACCAAAAATTCCCTTCCAGCATATTTGAATACAAAATTTGAGCACTTCTTTACGGCACTACAGCAAAACGCTACGAAACCTATTTTCACACAATTTGTCAAACACCAAATTGACTTTAGAACCATAGTTTCTTCGGAAAATTTGCTTAGAATTGCACGTGTAATCGTTCTGTGCTATGTATACGCGCATAGTCGAAAAAATCTCCCCTCCTACCTTCTATCTCTCCTACCAAAAAATAAATAATAAATAAATGGGTTTGAAACTTACTTTTTTATTTAAAGTGGCGTTTTTATTTTTACTCTCTGATGTTAGGATTTATTTTAAAGGACTTTATAATATCAAAGATATGAATAATTCCTAAAATTATTTCAAAAATTCAATGCAATGTAGAATAAAAATATGGTTACCAAATGAAAAAGGAAATTTCTTTAGAATTTAAGAAACGAAAACTTTTTTTTTTGGATTCACAAGGACGAATAGGCAATTTTTTAAGCTGATAAAGTGAGAAGGACGAAATTCGAGGATGTTATCGAGTTTATATAAGCCCTTAACATATAATTTTTCCAAAAACAAATATTGCGAGATTTCAAGGATAAAATTTTAAAAGTAAATTTTCAATACTTATTAGTCCTTGTGTACCAAAAAAAAAAAAAATTGAATCTAATTAAATTTTACAGAATTCACTCTTTAATTTGATACCCATACTTCTTCTCTGAGCACATTTTACTGAACTTTTAAAATAATTTTTTGATTACTGACGTCAGAGTGAAAAACTAAAAAAGCAATTTTACTATATTTAGCCCATGGTTTCGCGAGTGTATTGACTTTTTTCTGCAACATTTACTATCGCACGGTTTTATACGCATTATGAGACACTTATAAAAAAATTTAGTTTTAATAAATAAAAAAAGAAATATAGCTAATACTGGTCAAGAAAATGAAGTTTCTATTATTGCCATTAGTGCAAATTACAAATCTCAAAAATTCCGGGATTATTGGCCAAGAATCCCGGGATTTTCGGGACATAAAAAGGCCGGGATTCCGGGATTAACATTCCTAGTATACATATGTATATATGTATATGTATACAGATAGACCCAGGTATAGAGAGAACTATACTCACCACAGCATACTTGCTACACCTTAGTTCACCGCACCCAAACTCACCACACCCCTCCGAAGCTCAGCTCACCTGTCTCACCATAATGCTTGAAATACAATACCGGCGAACGGCAAACTTCGCCGAATTGGGCGATGCTGTCGTTCACCGTTCGCCCAGCTATTTCGCCTACTTAAACAGAATTAGAGCGGTAGCGAAAACAGCTGATCCCATTTGGTCGCCTTTATAATTTGGGTGACCATATTTAGAAAAAACTAAACCATATTTAGAAATGAGGAAATGATAAATGATATAAATGTAAAACAAAGAAAGATTATTATAAATAATTTGTTTCAAGCCAGATTTAACGAATCCACAACTATATTTTTCAAACAACAAAAAAAAAACGTGTTTAGGTTGTTTTCTTTTAAAACTTTGAAAGCAAAAAACAAATACGGCCACCTTTGGCACGCACAGCTGTCATCGCCCAGCAGGGCGATAGAAATAAATCTATCGCCATGAAACGCCGCCAAGCGAACTTCGCATTTCGCTTTGGCTGTGTTCAATTTCATATGCTTGCGGGTGTTCTA